TAGTGAATGTGCAGAGCCATCTCGTTTTGGTTTTAATTTGCATTTTCCTAATGATTAATAACACTGAGACATTTTTCCTTTCATATTGTCATATATGTAACTTCTTTCTTGAAGTGCCTCGTCAAATATTTTGCTCATTTTTGATTGGCTATCTTTTTATCACAAATTGTGGTGGTTTTCTATATTATCTTGACACACGTCTTTTGCCCTGATATAATATTGTAAACATTTTCCCCCATTCTGTGGTCTCCTTATTGTTTCCTAATGCTGCCCTTTGAAGAGGAAAATATTTTTCTCCACTTATGGAGACAAGATGGTTAACGTAGTTCTTCCAAAATGTTTTTAAAATTCTAGTTTCGTTTAAAACAACCACAGCAAACTGCATGGATTTCTTCCATGTCTTTGGAAGAAAAACATTATTTTATTTATTTCACAGTGGAAGATCAGTTGGTATGGCTCCACTTAGGCAGGTTTCGTTTTGTTTCCTCATGCCTCTGCAATGCCGGGGAGTCGCCCACGCCTTACTCACTGCAGCTGGATCGAGACCAGCCTCCCCACTCCTCCCACAGCCTCCGACGCGGGGCGCTCCACATTTGAAGGCAAAGTTAGAGATTTTTAGTGGAAATGTTCGTGTTTTCTTGGTGACTAGTAAATGGCTGCAAATTAGAAACGTGGTCCTTTGGTTGTAATCGAAGGCTGCTGAGTGTTTCTGTGAAGATCACCCTGTGAAGAAACAGCTGCAGTGAGAGAGCGGCATAAGGTGGGACGCCGCTCCCAGGACGTGGGGTCGGAGAGGAGCTGAGTTCAGGACGGGCCGCAGGAGGAGGCCAAGGCGGACCCCAGGAGGGGCCAAGTGGGCAAAGCCAGGGCTGGAGAGGGGAAAGCCAGGATTCGCGCCGTGTCCAACAGGGATGGCACAGAAGCCCGAGAGGCCACGGCCAAATGTGGAAATTAGCTTGGCCAAATCTTACATTTCAGAGAGAAAAGGCAATATGGCATTCATGCTTGCCTGGTTTAATTTTTGTAATTTTCCCTTTCTTCCTGCCAATAGCTTGCTTGTTATCCAGAGGGTAGCTACAATTTTAGCTCACAGTGATGTCAACTTGAAGCTTCTCTCCACAAGCAGCTGCCACCTCGGCTAGTGTAGTCAGCCTTCCCAGCCTCCCTCCCTGGCCTCCCTGGTCTCCCAGGCACAAGACTCAGTGCTGGCTTCACAGTCACTGCAAGTGCACCACCCCCAAGGCCTAGGACTGATTAGCGTGGACAGCACCCAGCACACTTGCCTCAAAAAGTGTGAAGAAATAGGACACAAGCTGTTTGTTCTCATGACTATAGCACAGACTATAAAGCAAAACACCTTCCTCCAGAACACAGCAAGCTGGATGCGTGGTGATCTGGACAAGCATTTCTTGTAGGTTTTGCAACTGGGGTTCAGTGGGTACTGGGCTCCCCAGAGCATACGTGTGGACACAGTTAAGTTGCTCCCATTTTCCAAGACTCAGAGGGGATGTATTTACATTAAGAGCATATACTTGCTAGTAATGCAACTTCAGAATGTCCAAGTCATCTGTTGGAAAAAACAAAAATCGAGAAAGTCTGGGGCTGGTTCGCACTATTGCTACGCGGACGGCTCCACACCCAGCCCCCGCTCGCCGCCTCGGCCTCCGTCTCCGGGAGTCCCACGCTCTCTCTCCTTTTAAAGTCTTCATGTTAGTGACAAGTTCAATTTCGTCTTCAACTTCAAAATTGCAGACAACCAATTTCTACTTCCTAGTCAAGTTGTATCATTTATCTTCCATGTTAACTTCATTTCAATTAAACTTTTAACCATCTGGAATCTTTGCCCTCTTAGGTGACAAAAATAGACATTAAATTGTATAATTTCTTAAATTCTCTGTTGAAAAGTCCTAATAAATTACTGTATATGATACAGATTAATAAGAATTTGGGTGCATTAAATATAAGATAATTTTGTAGTTTAAGGTAATTTCATAGCTTAAGATAATTTCACACCCCAAGGGATGTATAACCCAAACAGAAAGCAGATAACTAACATTAACTGTCAGCTGTCCACTGAAGAACTATCTCAGGCAAAAAATAAAATTTGGATTAGCTATCTATGGTACACGATACTTTTTTGAACCATCTCTTTTGGGTTGACAGCTGCAGTGCATTCTGAGAGTATATTAATGCTACAACAGCAGTAAAAATAAAATTAAGTTGGGAACACACAGAAAAAAGAAATTGATTACATTATTCCTAACGAGGACCCGAAACAAAGTTGGCCCTAAACAAAATTTTGTCAGAAAGGAGAAAAGAAAATAAAAAAGAGAGCGTGGCAGGATTTTATATTCTGCTCCCTTTTTGGAAAAACATATTTGGGTGAACCATATGAAACTGCCATTGAAAACCACATGCATGTTGGTCCTTGTGTATGGCTCAGTCTAGTCTTGTTACCATGGAGATATCTGCTAGACATCTGAGAAAGATTTCTTGGTGGTCCTTTCAAATAGTGAGTTGGTGCTGCCACCTGGCTCCTCCAGGCTGCTTGACCTGCAGGTGCGTGCATGTCTCACACAGGTCATCTTTTTCTCCATTAGCCGATGCTAAACAGTGAAAACAGCACCTTTACTCTGAAAACACCCAGGCATCCTCCTCCAGTTAAGTCTGAATACACAGTTTCAGACTTAAAGAATACTTAAGACTTAAAGAATCCACTGTTTTCTTTAAGCTAAGGAAAAAGAATGAGCTCTCACATCTGCAAAGAATGCCTTTAAACAGAATGTCAAAAACGAACAGAAATTGTTTATTCCAGCATGTTCAGACCACCCCCTCTGTGGCCAGACTAGGGGCCACGATCACATTCTTGCTTTGTTGTCTAAAGAATGTGGTCTTGCCAAAGTTGTGCAAGCCCCATGACATGTGCCACATGATATGAGTCATTTTATCACGCAAGCACCAGAAGGAATCTTCACAGCCGTGTCATTACAGAGACAGCAGGCGAGGCAGAGCCGGGCTCATCCTTCCTCCCCTGCACACTGCTGGCTGGGCTGCCAGGGCCGCAGGTGGACAGCGCCTGTCCACTGGTGTGTGCCCAGCTGTGGGCTCCTCACCAGCCTGCATCCACTCGGTTGGTGAAGCAGAACCACCACAGACCTCAGAAAGCTGGCCTAGGGCATGGGTAAGCAAACACTGCTGGCTCTCGTACCAAGCGACCTGGCCTAGTGTCCGAACCTGCTCTTACCTCGAGACCTGAGTGCCCTGGCCTGCGGCTGAGCCCTGCGAGCCATCCCAGCTGCATTGCCCTCCATGAGGTGCAGTTGGAAAGCCTGGCTCAGTCCTCATCACACAGACCTCAGAAGGGTCCTGGCCTCTCAGCCTGATCAAGTCAACAGATTTTGCATGGGAAAAGTAAGCCTTTAAATGGATTTTCCAAGACAGAATGTCATGGCTTCTCTCTTGACAAGTACTTGGAAAGGGAGCTAAGAATAACAACAATGCCTGTCAAACACACAGGGCTATTACAAAAATGAGACAATGAAGTGGAATCAAGTGAGAAATAAACAGTTCTACATAAATATGTGATTTTTATGACTACCTTTTGATGAAGGTAGAGCAACCGACCACTTTTACATTATAACACATTGTTCACTACTTGAGAACATTTCATTACGGATAGAATATCACAGATAAAAAATAAACATGATACATCACACCATTCGCAAGGCAGATCTCTGAGGCATCCACTCACAGTATCACCTGCTCTTCCTCTGAGTGGTGTGAGAGCACTGCTGATCAGAACCAGGCAGGGGATGCCTCCTGAGTGCACAGCGGCCTGGTACTGGGCCCGGAGCCAGAGGCCACACCTGAGCCCTGCTGTCCATGTCCCGCCGACTTTGTTCTCTGCCTTCCTGGCTGCTGTCTTCCCAGAAAGTCCTCAAGGGCAGAGGACTTATACCGCTCTTCTCATATTGCAGGCTGACACAGCTCTCTTCTTAGCAGTGGCTTTGCCAAGTTTGTCGTAAATCTTCCCCTGATAGAGGTCTCTAATAGATTTGGTATTTTACATAGTAGAGTTTTCTTTTTTGACATATTATCCAGCTATTACTATTTAGAGTAAATAATTTTATATTTCTTTTTCTTAAAGTCATAGTTGGCATAACTGGAATATGACTTGCTTTGGAAAAATTTATATAAAAACCATAGCAATATGTGTCAGAAACAATATATGTCAAAATTTTACATGATTTACTGAAATTAAGAATATTAAATAAGACTCTGGGTTTTCTTGCCCTATATCTGCTTTATTTATCTATTTTCAACTAGTTTTAAATAAATTTCATTTTAACAAAGGGAAACAATATATTTTTAAATGCTTAGGTAACTCTAAGTGTTAGAAAAATAAAAATGAGTTATTCCAAACTTTCGTTTCTCAAAAATGTTAAGAGAAAAATGCATGCACATTTATGGCGAATGTGTGAAAGTTCCAGTAAGGATCCCAGGAAGTCAACCTTGTGGCATTTTGTAGAAGGTGAGGTCACAGCACACTGCATTTCTTGCAAAAATAGAGACAAGTGATGGCCAGTGGAGCTCTGGGTGGGATGAAAGTCCCCAGCTCCCTAGTTTCATGGATAAGAGAGAACACTCTAGATCAGGGCACTCCCAGCTGGTTCCAGGAGTCCTCACCTGGGGCATCACAGGCTGCTGAGGTTATCTGGAATCTTGAACTGCCTTGGAAGCATCCTCACTCTTCAAGGATCCTATAACCATGGGATTCTAGGATCTTAGGAATCCCATATACACAGAGTCAATTCCCAGGACAGCTATTTCTCTCTGATGAACATGTCCAAGCAGTCTGTGGAGCCCTGCCTCAGTTGTACAACCATCAACTGTGGGAGGAAGACCCAGAAGCCATGCTGTGCACACAGACGGTGTCCTGGGGCAGAGGCCACACTCACCACGCAGAGTCATGCACCAGCTAACCAGAAGACCAGAGCCAGTTAGGACTGTTTACTGCTTTATTTTCACTTCTTAAAAGAAATCCTCTCCCTCTTTTTCCTTCCAGGTCTAATTATCAAACAAATACTGTATTATGTTTTATCGAAGGATATTCTGTTGTAACTTTACCAAATTCTGTGCAGAAGTACTGGATGCCATTTCCATTTTCCCAATGAGGGGTATCCCTTTTGAGGAGCAGAAAGACATAAAAATGTGACAGTGGAACATGCAGGGTGCAGGAGCTTGCTAACGGGGAAAGCTGACGCAAGTCTCAAAGTACGAGAAGCAGTTGCCGCCCTGGCCCCGCGATGGATGAACCACCATTTCTTACTTTCCAGTTGTCCCTTGCAGCATTCCTGCGCTCAGCTCACAGGTCAGCAGTTACTCAGCTAGAAAGAGCTGGAGCTTACCATCCAAGGTGGCTGTGGTGAGCTGTAATTGAAAATAAAATACCATGTAATTCCAATCACCTTTTATTAATTGAGAGCTCTGTAAGAAAATAAGCTGAAAGTGTATATTTTCCTTATTTGTAATGTTCCGGATCATGGAGTAACATGCACTACCATAGTAGAATCTATATATACGACAGATAGTATGCTGACAATTAATTAATTCAAACTACATTTCATTGCTGTTTTAATAATTTGAGGGGCCCTGGTCAGAGCTGATCCATCTTTGGTGCACAAAAGGGCATGGAACATCCTGGTTAGCGCCTGTGCACCTCCTTCCAGGCAGAACTGAAGAGCAGGGCGCAGGAGAGCACTCTTGATCGAGGAGGAGGAGGAGGAGGAGGAGGAGGAGGAGGAGGCGCCAGGAATCTGCCCCCCACAGACAGCAACTGTACTGGGAAACTCTGATGTACACACTTCCAGTACTTTGAATTTCTGGAGTCTGTTGAAGGCTTGCAACTTCCAGAGGGAACACTTGAACTATAAATTGTGGTTAATTTTTGTCAACTTCGGATTCTGGCACATTAGCAGCTCCCATTCCCCTGTCCCCACCCCCATGCATACCTTTCAAAAGCGATCTGCACAGGGCCTGCAGAAACCAGGATGGGCAGAAAGCACCCAGCCTCCAAATATCAGGGACCTGTGCTCTGATCAGTGATGGATGCTGCTTATTACAGAGGTGCAAAGAGGCGGGCAGCCATTGTTACCCCTCCCGCATAGCTATGAGCCCCTCTTCTCCAGGAGAAGCAACTTCCAGAGCATTGAAGGAGCCAGCGCCCTTGATTCCCACTTTAATTTTCTCTCCTCTCTTTATGGGAGCTGGACAGTAAAAAATGAGACTTCAAAAACAACTATGTACTTGGGAAAAATTAGAAAGTGACTAAGGAGGCTGAGGCGGGTGGATCACTTGAGGTCAGGAGTTTGAGACCAGCCTGACCAAAATGGTGAAACCCCATCTCTATTAAAAACATAAAAATTAGGTAGGTGCCATAGCAGGCACCTGTAATCCCAGCTTCTCTGGAGGCTGAGGCATGAGAATCACTTGAACCCAGGAGCTGGAGGTTGCAGTGAGCTAAGATTGTGCCACTACACTCCAGCCTGGGCAACAGAGAAAGACCCCCTCTCCAAAAAAAAAAAAAAAAAAAAAAAAGTGACTGTGGACCACGCATGCCACAGGAAAGGCTCAAGAAAAAAGAACTAAGAAGATTTGAACTTTACAACTCAGGCTGGTCCTTGGGGCAGAGTCAAGCTACAACAATCAAAATAAACAAAAACAATAAATTAAACAATGACAAAAATCAAACCCAGGGGAAGGGGGCGAACCTTACTTCAGAATTACCACAATACTACATTCAATTGTCAAGTTTTCAATAAAAGGTCACAAGGCATTCAACGAAATAGGAAAGTATGGCCTATTCAAAGGAAAAAGATAAGCAGATTAATGGAAATTGTCTCTGAAAAGAATCAGATGGCACATCTACAGCACAAAGACTTTAAAACAATTGTTTTCAATTACTCGAAAATTAAAGAGAGATGTGGATAAAGACAGGAAAATTATGTATGCATTCATACATAATTTTGGAAATATCAATAAAGAGATAGAGAACCTAAAATGAAACAAAAAATATTTTGAAGCTAAAAATATATAATAATGGAAATAAAGTATCCCCTAGAGGAATTAAAAGGCAGAGTTGAGCAGGTGAAGAAAAAACAGAAACAATCAAGTCTGAGGCACAGAAATTAAAAAAAGGACTGAAAAAAGTGAACAGAGCCTAAAAGGCCTATGGGACACCATCAAGGGCCCAACTTACACATTGCAGGAGAAAACATAACAGTGGAAAACTCCCAAATTTGATTTTATAAAATGGTTATAAATGTATATCCAAGAATTCAATAAACTCCAAGTAAGAGGAACTCAAAAAGTCCCACACTGGGACACACCACCATCAAACTTTCAAAGGCCAAAGGCAAAGAGGGAATTCTGGAAGGAGCAAGAGAAAAGTCTTATCACACCAAAAGGATTCTCTGAGATTGTCAGCAGATTTCTTCTCATAATAAGCTTTGCAGCCCATAAGGCAGTGGTCTTATTCACTAGACTAAAATAAAACTCAAACTCCCCAAAAACTATCAACCAAGAATCCTAAACCAGCAAAGATGCCATTCAAAAGTAAAGGAAAAATTAAGACATTCCCAGATAAATGAAGCTGAGGAAGTGTGTTACTACTAGACCTTGCCTGCCAGAAATGTATTGAGGGGCACCACAAGGTGGAAAAGAAAGGACCCTAGACAGGAATTTGAAGCTGTATGAAAAAATAAAGATCTCAGTAAAGGTAAGCACATGGGCAGTTATAAAAGCTATTATTATAGCAACGCTGTAGGATTCCACTTTTTTGTTTTCCACATGATTTAAAAGACTAAAATATTTTTTAAAAGATTAGTCTAAAAGGCAGTATTATCATAACTTTGGTTTGCAACTCCACATTTTGTCTTCTACAGAATTTAAGAAACTGTGTATTTAAAATAATCACTGTTTTATGTTTTGGGGAATAAAATGTGTAAAAATGTAATTTTGTGACATCAACAACTGACGGGGTGGGGAAAGAGATGTAAAGGAACAGAATTTTTTGTGTTACTGAAATTCACTGTTATAAATTCAAACAAGAGTGTTATAATTTTAGAATACTACATGTAATTCCCATGGTAGCCACAAAAACAAAATAGCTATACAATGTGCAAAAAAGAAATTGAGAAAGAAACTAAAAAATTTCCCTAAAAATTTTACTAAAGAGTGAACAGTAATGCAGAAAATAAGGGACAAAAAACTATAAGGCATATAGAAAACAAAAAGAAACATGGCAATAATAAGTCCCACCTTATCAGGAATTCGTTTAAATGTAAATGAGAAGGCAGATTGACAGAAAGGATTAAAAACACATAATTCAACTACAGTTGCCCCTCAGTATACTTGGGGAATTAGTGCCAGGAACCTTGACATAAAATTAAATCTGTACATACTCAAGTCCCATAGTTGGCCCTGTAAAGCCTGCATATACAAAAACTTGACCTTCCATTTATGCGAGTTTTACATCCCATAAATACCACAATTTTTATTTGCATTGGTCAAAGAAATCCACATACATGCAGACCTGCACAGTTTGAACCCATGTTGTTCAAGTGTCAATTGCCTATGCTGTCATATACATTATTTTTGAATGGAGTGGTGATCAAAAGAAAGCAGGGATAGATACACCAATATCAGAAATCAAAAGCTTTAAGTCAAAAAGGCTAAAAGAAACTATATATATATATATATATATATATATGAAAGATATAATACAAGAAAATATAAATATTATAAACATTTATATATCTAATAACAGACCATCAAAATATATGAAACAGAAACTAATAGAATATAAGGAAGAAATAAACAGCTTTACAATAATAGCTGAAGATCTTAATACTCCTCTTTTAATAATGGATAGGACAACCAGACAGAAGAGAGGCAAAGATATAGAGAATTTACACAACATGATAAACCAACTAGATCTCATAAACACTTTACCAAACAAGAAGAGCATATAGCATACATATTCTTCTCAAGTGCATATGGGACATTTTCCCAGGATAGACCACATGTTAATCCACAAATTAAATCTCAATAGATTTTAAAACATAAACAACATACACAGTATCTTCCCTGACCATACAGGATGAATTTAGAAATTGAAAATAGAAGTTAAACTTGAAAAGTCAAAAATTGTGGAAATTAAATGACACACTCAAACAACCAAAGGATCAAAGAAGAAATAATAAGAAAAATTAGAAAATACTTATAGATGAATAAAAATAACACACCATGCAAAAAATCTGTTACACAGCAAGAACAATGCTAAAGGGGGAATTTATAGCTATAAATGCATATATATACATATATATATGTAAACTAGAGATTTATATACCTTTATATATCTTTGTAAACTAGAGAAAGAACAACAGCACATCGCAAAGCTAGCAGAGGAAGTAACTAAGAAAGATTAGAGCAAAAATAAGCAAAATGGAGAAAAGAAAAACAGGAAAAAAAAAAAACGAGGAAATAAAAAAAAAAAGATTTATCGAAAAAAAACAGAATTGAGAAACCTCTAACTACATGGACTAAGAAAAATAAATAAGACTCAACTTACTAAATCAGAAATGAAAGTTTTGGACATTACTGCTAATTCTTTAGAAAAAAATGATTATAAGAAAGTACTATGAACAATTGTATGCCAGCATATTGGATATCCTAGATAAAATGTACAAATTCCCAGAATCACAAAACTTACCAAGACTGAATCACAAAAAATTATCTAAAATTTGAATAGACCTATAACTAGTAAGGAGACTGAATCAGTAACTAAAAAAATCTTCCGACAAAGAAAAATCTTAGGCTGGGCACAGTGGCTCACATCTGTAATCCCAGCACTTTGGGAGGCCAAGGCAGGCAGATCACCTGAAGTCAGGAACTCAAGACCAGCCTGACCAACATGGTGAAACCCCGTCCTTACTAAAAATATATAAATTAGCCAAGGGTGGTGGCATGTGCCTATAATTCCAGCTACTCGGGAGCTGAGGAAGGAGAATCGCTTGAACCTGGGAGGTGGAGGTTACAGTGAGCTGAGATAGTACTACTGCACTCCAGCCTAGGCAACAGAATGAGAGTCTGAAGAAAAAAATGAAAGAAAGAAGAAAGGAAAGGAAAGGGTAGGGAAGGAAAGGAAGGGAAGGAAGGGAAGGGAAGGAAAGGGGAGGGGAGGGGAGGGGAGGGGAGGGGAGCGGGGAAAGAGGGGAAAGAGGGGAAAGGGGAAGAAGGAAGGAAGGAAGGAGGGAAGGAAGGAAGGAAGGAAGGAAGGAAGGAAGGAAGGAAGGAAGGAAGGAAGCTAGACCCAATGGCTTTGCCAGTGAATTCTACCAAACATTTGAAGAAGAATTAACACCAATAAA